CACGACTGAGAGAGAATGGGAGGAGAACAAAGATGCACTATCAAAGATTGATAGCATACTTGCTACTGAATTGTTTAGCAAAAAAGAGAAAATATGGATCAAGGCCTTTCAAATGATGCATGCCAAGTCAGATATAATGGACAATAATTTATGTGAGGCTTTTAATTCGAGCATTGTTGATGCAAGGTACAAGAGCATCATTACAATGCTTGAAGAGATTCGAGTCGAGATAATGACAAGAATAGTTGAAAAACGAAAATTCTTGACTACATGGAAGTACAATTTTGGGCCATTAATCAAGAAAAAATTTAACATCATGAAGAAAAACAACATTAAGTGGAGAATGATTTGGAATGGAGGTAATGTATGTGAGATGATGAGTGTTCTAAATCGATAATATTTGCTCGTTAATTCTTCGATCTTGTGGATTTATTGTTTTTGATTTGGTTGTATTATGCATATTTTCGTGCATGATCTTACTTTCAAGAATTAGTAGTAAAAAATGCGCATTCTACATTTTTTTTATTATTTGGCCACGGCTGGAGACATGGGCATGACATGGTATGACGTGGCAATTTCTATAAGGTCCAGTCAATAATAGGTTTCTAGAAGATCTAGCCAACACCTTCTGGAAAAGTGGACGTGCAGAGATATCTTAGGAGATTTAAAGTTTGAATTTGAATAAAACAATTGGAATTATATTTAGGATTATTTTTATTCCATGTTTATCTCTTGGATTTTAGTTTTAATATTTTAAGAGTTATATTTTATTTTATCTTTATTTTTAGTATTTTATTTTAAATAGTTTTAAATATTTTCATTAGGAATTATCTCTTTATTTTAGGAATCATATTTTTCTTATTTTTAGGATTTGGAAGACTATAAATACATTCTCAGGGTAAACCTAAATAGACATTCAAAAATTATTCTTCTTCTTTCTCTAATTTTTAATAAAAAAATTTCTTTTCTTTTTCAAAGTTCTTCTTTGTTTTATTTTTTTTATTTTCAAAGAGTCTAAGTATGATTTCCATACTTAGCTAATTTCTCCATAGACAAGGGCTGAAGCGATGACTCAATCCATATTTTGAGGATTGAAAAGAACTAAACAACTTTGAGTTATTTTCTTAATTTTCTGGAGGAATAAGATTGGTAATTGACCTATCTTTTTAAAATCAAAACGTTTTCAAATAAAAAAGAGCTTGTTGGTTCGAAAGTTGTTCTGATTTACAGTTGGGATGGAGAATCAGCTGGCAGCAAGTTCGACTTCTTGTAAACACACTTAACGGAGTCCGCTAAGGGAAATTGAGATCGGGCTAGATACTCATTGAGGCGACATAGCCCGAGTCGGGTTTTTCCAGATCTATAAAACAGGTTGGTGCTAACGACGATAGTCGTATTTAGTTAGTCTTTGTAAAGGACTAATATCCAAAAATAGATTTTGGTTTATCGGTTCATGAGAGAGAAAAACAAGTTACAGGGATTGGGCCTATAAACTGTAGCCGACAAATAACCGAAGCAAAAATCTATTCCGAGGATCAACATGAATTTGAGGTAAAGCTGAAGTCCATGGCTAATTTTAATATAAGTTTCTCTTTATCTCAATATCTTTAAATTATTTATTTAATTATTTTCTTTTATTTAATTCTTATTTTTTATTTTAAAAACAACTTTTAAACCCCCTTATTTAATCTCATCCAAAACTCTACCTTATCTCATCATTTTCTAAATCAAAAAGTCCACTTCATCATAAACACCAGAGTCCCTGTGAACCGAACCTGCTTCCCTACTCTACTCTATCTCTTTATTTATTTATTTATTTATTTTTAAGAAGTCTGAATTATTTTGACAGTAAAACGACACGTGTCAGAGGTAAAGAAAGGGAATAAACAATACATTGTAGACTTGAATGAAAGAACATGTATTTGTAGAAGGTGCCAACTATGTGGGATTTCGTGTCCCAATGCTTGTTGAGCAATATGGCATACTGGTGGGGACCCAAATGAGTTTTTACATTCCTATTATCACAAAGACACATACAATAAAGCATATAAATATGTTTTGTAATCTATTAATGGGCCTCAAGATTGGAAGAAATTTGGAATTGGCCTTGTTCTTCCATCGGTTGATAGAGATATGCCTGGAAGGCCTAAGAAAAATCGAAGGAACAAAAAAAATTCAAGCATGAACATATTAGTAGGATTGGTCTTATTATGACTTGTAAAAATTGTGGAGGACAAGGTCATAATAAAATATCATGTACTCAATCTAAAACTACAAACCAAGTATTTAGAGTTAATGTGTTGAGTTTGGTGTAAAACTTAAAGTTATGTTAGATTTCTAAAGTAAACTTTTTTTGTTGCAGGAGAGCAATAGGGATGTGAATTCTTCGACAAGATCATCAAGAATGATTGTATCAAACCCAACACATGTATCAAGGAAAGGAAAGAAGAAACAAAAGACCTGTGTTACTTTTGATAGATCAATGAGGAAAAAAAGATATGAAGGGATATGCCTTTACACAAATTTGAGGATTGGAGAACATACATTCTATGTAAGAACATATTAAATAAGAATTTCAATTCTTTGACAAATTAAATAATGTTTTAATTTTCTGATATGTTATCAGTTTGGTACAAGTGCACTAAAGACGAGGAGAGGAGCTGAGGAACCTATGGGCACTCAAGAATCAATAGCACCAAAGAAGAATAAATGAATTGTCTGATCGAATGGGTCTTTTGGTTGTGCTACTTTTTGTTAGGGTATATGTTTGGGTTGTAATGTTTTTTGTGTATGGAAAATATCTGCCTAACTTGATATGAGATACCTTTTAACACAAATATCTGCATGTGAACTATTAAATAGGCAAGGGTTTGCCCCTTAAAATGATCACATTACTTTTCCAGCTTGTTCGATTAGGCCAATCCAATTTTGTTGGTTTCTTCAGTTTAAGCAATGGTTAAATAATCGAATACCTTTGAGCTTCCCGCAAGCATGTGAAATGACACAAAAGGTTGAGTTTAATCTTAAGTATTAAATAAGGAAAACTTTAAACCTGTAAGTAAAAAAATTCATTTTGGGTATTCCTCTACGAGTATGTGGTGATGCATATTAGTGTTCATTGTGCTCTAAGAACATTTTGGAAATAGGAGAATGTGAAGGTAAGTTTTATATATATATGAAGAAAATAAAATTTTCAAATTAACTCGCCCATGGCTTGCAGTTGCAGCAATCGTTGACCCAAAAAATTATTGAGTAAAAACTGATGACATTTGTGTTATTGGTGAATCATGATTTTCTTTTTGATTAATTAATGAACCCAAAGATCAACCGAAAATTTTTAAAGGATAAATGAAAAATGATTCTCACATAATTTTTCACATATTTCCCTTTAACTTCAAGCAACTTTGGAGAAATAACAATTTGTTTTAGTGAACTGGAGGTGACATTGTCAAGCTTTCTTAGGTTAAGGAAGTACATGTACAAGAAGAATCGATTGTGGTAGGTAGGGACTTCAATCAAAACATAAGCCAAGAGAATAGAAAACACTAAGCTTAGTCATTTGTTCTTAATAAGTAATAGTCAAACACTTAATAATAGATATACATAAACACTTAATCTTTAACAAAACACCTAAAGTCCTATTGCAAGTACAATTACCACAAAGATACATATGACACACACCATTGAGCAAATACACATTGTCTTATAAAATTCATTTTCTTTCTTCATTGTTTTAGATTTTCCCTTCAAGCTCTTAATCTTTTGCTTTAATTCATTGTCATTGTCTTCACTTTGCACACTTCCAATCTCTTTCACTTTGCTTTGAACACTTTCACTTTCACTCTCTTCCAACAACACACTATTCATTTGAGCAGTAGAAGTAAGGGAACAACTTGTAATCTGCCCTCTAAATCTTGCATTCTCTTTCATTAAATTTCGCTCACTATCACATAATTATCGTAGGAAATGATTTGCTCGCTCTGGCATGCTAACATCATACCATTCAAAATACCTACAACCGTGCTACAATAAGGGGAAAAACATATTCCCTTATCAATCGATATATGTAATAACACTTTATCGTACATACATTCTTTATCTCAAGCTAACTAATACAAGGTCATTATAAACATATTCTTACCGAAAAATTTGAGCAACCGTAATACCTTTTTCCGGGGTTTAAATCGCTCCATGAAATTTCCCTAGGTGCCAATTTATTGCAATAACACTTTTTTGGTTCACCATCGTACACGAAATATCGTCAAGAAGAACTAATGATGGTTGGAGATTCGAACCTGTCCATTAGACAATTTCTACTAAAACCCAAAACATACAAACAAGATTAATTATTAAATTAAATGAATTCACAAAACAATGTTCATTTCGAACTAAACCAAATAAAAACAAAAAAAATTATGCGTAAAATACAACCCCATAGAATAAATCATTTTGAACAAAACTATGCAACAATGTTCAAGGGTTCTGAACAACCCATTCATACAATCTACAAAACCCATTCAAAACCCACACAAACCCAAAACATTTAACAAAAATTAGTTGAAAACCCATTCGAAATTAAGGAAATAATTGATTATTTGATTAAAAAAAATCAACTCACCTTCGAAATATATGATTGTGTAATCGGTTGGAAGTTGCTAGTTGAAGGAAAATGAAGAATTTGAGAGGAGAAACAATTTGAAATATTGGGGTTTCTAAACCCTAATATTTTGGGAATAATCGAGTCTCTCTCATTTCATCCACCTGTAAGATATTTGAAATGTATGCTTTATTTTGTTTAACTAAACTGAACATTTATTATGGGTTAAATAAATTTTATTTCATTACAAAATCGAGTAGTCCACTTGGCCTGGTAGCAAGAGGCATACCATTTCACACCCTTGCCCCAAGTTCGATGACTTAAAAAACATGAAAACCATTACACCTCCCCAGTAAAGATCAATATTTGCGCATATCAAAAGAATACTAAATGAAGCAGATACACAAATCACCTCTTGGAACGGATTCGGTCTTCCTCATAGTCCATCACTCCACCAGGTTCAGAGTAGATCTCCTCGAGCCCTCGAAAGTCGTCATCTGTCTGCTTAAAGTGTGTAACTTCTGTCACAACGTAAGTAAGCCACATCTACCAACATATCTTGATATTGAATGAGCGAATTCATGGCAAGCTAATTCTTGATACAGTTAAAAGTCATGCATTTTACTTAGACCTTTGTTGTGTATAATAATTATATGCAATTTTGCAAGAATTAAAAAAAAAACTACCTTAACCAGCATCACCAAGAAAAAAATATATATATATTCTAAAACTGAATTACAGCAAAAGGGAAATCAACGTTAACAGGAAAACTGGATTCAACCGACCTTGACAGAAATGGACTTCTTTACTTCTTCCACCCTATCGTCAACCTCCTTCCGATGTTTCTTGTCCAACTCACTCATAGAATCAGCCCATTTTATCTTCTCTTGAATTGAAATAAGTAAGTTGTATGGTGTACCCAACCTAGGTTCACACCCATAGACAGATGTTAGATATATAAGCTGATATTTGATCAAATGTAACATTGCATTTCCATTGAGCTAATTTAACTAGCTAGCTCTAATGAACAAAGCCAGAAACTAATCTAACAGCAGACAATAAAAAGTACCAACTAAGACATCAGTATGGACGGAGACCTTAAAGGCATGCCTTACTAGAACTAGAGATTTTACCAGTTTGATGGTGTTTGTATCATGCTCCCAAGTTGTCCTGGCCTCAAATCCCTCCCAGCATCAAATTGGACCTTCCATAACAAATGTTGGAGACTTCAAAAAGCAAGAACAGAAAAGAAATGAAAAGACAAAAGCCTTGAAAGGTAATGACTCGTACCTCAAAACATCTTCGCATCTGATCCAGCTTTCCTCTCACAATACCCTAACAAAAAGGATGAAAAGAATGAACAATCAGCACACTCAGTCTAACAGTGGTCCAATTTTTGCTTCCCTTAAAAGTCAACCCTCCCTCTTACAAAGCACATGTCATGTTGAACAAAATCAAAGCATCAAATCCGCAAGGCCTTCAAGGCTGCTATACAGACTTCCAGTAGCTAAAGAACGTTGTGTTGGAGTAAAATCTTTGGATTAAAAAGGACTAAAGAATCATGCTAGCAAACTACATACCGCATATATGCATTCATTGATAATAAAGTCTTCAAGTTCACGGACATTTGTGACATCTAACTCCAGCATTAGTTGATAATATGGTAGAACCTGGAGAAGATATCAAATAAAAGTGAACAAACTTGAAGCAGCCAAGGAAAAACTATAGAATTAATATCATAAAAATATTCCCCACAAATAGGAAGGGGAAACAACATTCCGAAAATAAAATAATTTTTTTTTCAGGAGAGTCTAAAGAACCGGTTCCATCAAGTCAAGCAGTAAATTATATAAACGAGTCATTAATGAGCATCAAAATGCACTATAACCACTATAACGAAAATAGACCAGAAAATAGCATATTTACATGAGAAAATCCTACATATATCAGAGAATACCTTGTTTGCCTCAGAAAGTGTGAGGACAGTCAATTGCTTTAGCTTCAAAACTTGATCCGGGTGCAATTGAGGAAGACTACTGCTATTACCTGCTTAATCGCATTATGAAGAGCAGGAGAAAAATAGGAATAATCAAGACAGAAATATATAAAGTAGTTTAAGTAAGTAAAAGGCATTCCACTGCCTACTGTGCCTGGAACAATAAACATAACAGACGAACACTGTCTGAGTGAAGATAATAGAAGCAAGAGGGAGAATAGCGGGAAAAAAAGAAGCCAAAGCACTAAGCCAGACAATTCATTTAAATGTAATGCCTTTTGAATTACTTCTCAATGAAATTGCCATTTGGATAATCACATTAGTGTAATATTTTCTTTCATGAGATTATCCGAATAAAACTATATATTATGATCATTTTCAGTAGCTTTTCTCATTAACAATCAATGTAACAGTAAGTTTCCACTTTAGCCACAAGAAAAAAACAAAATTAAGATATTAAACATTTACAAGAGGCAAAACATCTTTAAATGACCACTTTTCATGCTCAAATCAACTATCAAGTAGAATAACACATTCAGACTCCTTACTGCCCAACATAGGCCTTAACATACACAGTGGCAACAATTTTTTACAACTAATAATCTTCAAGTTTTCTTAAAAGGAAAACTTATGGTACAGAAAGGAAACAAGTGTATTGAATTCAATACGAAGTTCTAACCAAACAATAAATATAGGTTACAACTTACTCTTGTAATCACTCCATGTTCCATGTGCAAACAACAGAAGAACCTCAAGGTACACTGAATTTTCAGTGCCTTCAAGCTGCAAGGTACATTGATTTCACATGGCTATAAGTAAACTAATTCATAACGCCAAAAAGAACTGATCAACAAGCAAACTAAAACACCATGCTGTAGACAAAAACAACAATCTAATAGCAGACTAACCATTTAATTGCTTGGAAAGTGCAACTCGCTTTTACAATTAATATATATAATTCCCCATACATCTGGTAAAGTTGAGCCAAATTCGAACATCATTGACTAATGAACAACCCCAACAATCATCATTAATGACAATGATAGGAAACCAGTTAAGCAGTTTGCCAGAAATTTAAAATAAAACCAAAAAATTCCTCAAATGTCAAACCTAGTTTTTCACTCAATTTCCCAATCAACCAAATAGGGTGCTGCTATGACTAGTATCTATTAAACAGTTTAGTTTATGTTTCAATTTGATACTCATCGTTAAAAAATTAACAGAACTGCTGACATATAATTTTTAATTTTTTTAATGATGACATGACATTATCTTATGGTTACACGTCAATATCAAAGTTAAGTTTTTAATGGAAGGTATCAAAATGAGACATAAACTAAACGTTAGGTATGATTTTGAAATAAAATAAAGTTTGAGTACTAAAACGGAACATAAGTAATAGTTTAGGTACTAAACATGTGATTTACCCGTTTAACGGTTACCATTTTTTTAGGAGAAAGATTGCAAATTGCTGATGTTTTTCTGTATTGGCAAGTATAAAATCACAGGTTCCATGAGGCTTTGACATTTCAAGGGTTTGATGAAACCATATATTAAACTAATCCATAGGATGTATTTAGTAAGCACATAAAAATTTTATGAATCAAGTTAACAATGAGAAACATTTTTTTTCTGGTACAAATGAGAGACACAAAAAGTTAAACAAGAACCGAATCCTGCACAGAGGCATCTGCACGGCAGCAGAGTTCCTTTAGCCATATTGCTAACGAATCAACGCAGTTGCGAAAGATATTTCTAATCTCAACCACCCACCGATCTTGTAGCAGGGCTAGACAGTTATAGATCAAGGTGACTAACGGATGATGTACCGCATCTGATCGAGAGAGCATTTGCATTTTTGCACCACAAGCAGTTCATCTAGTTAATCTCGAAGACCCTCTTGCACACCCCATAACTCCGCCATAAAAAAAAATCCTTGCATCAAATCGCCATGTTCATTCCTTAACAGGCATCCGTCCAGTGCAACGCATTCATGGGCTCATGGCCCCATCGGTATGGATAACTGCGGTTCCAGGTGGTGGTTTCTGCCAAGCTACCCATCCTGGACCACGAACAAGTCTCGCGACTTCCTACTGCATTGCCTAGTGAATATCAGTAGCAAGACTGTGACATGAGATAGAACTTGCGAACACATTACCCCCAAAAACCTTGGCATTCTATTCTTCTAGTAGCATAATATTTACCTCCGGGCACTTGGCAAATAATGTGTTGTGTAACCTTCAATTTCTCTCAAACCAGTCATTGAATGGGAGCTCGAAAAGGTCAGAAAACATGAGTGCAACACGGAGTTCAGCCTAGATCGCTTTAGCTATTATACAACCATGGAATATATGATCCAAAATCTACATCCATCCTGAATTGGAATGTCACGTTTTGCCCACACAAGGGATATGGGACTGCTCGAATTTCTTTAAGTAATTCATCATTGATCCCGCACAGGCTCAGCTCCCAATATAGTTTGGAACTCGATTTGGTAGTGACTAATTCTTTTATGTTGATATTATCAATTGTGGAAAGTCCAATATAAAGTTTTGCCATGACCAAGGACAAGGGGGATTGACGAGTTTGGACTCAATGACCTAACTATGAAATATTAAGCCCAACACTAATCTTTGTTAGCAAGGCCCTAAATAGGGGGAGAAAAATAAAATACTATAAGCTAGCTACACCCACTATTTTTGCTCCAGTCCTCCAAAGCTTTTTTTATCCACTCAGTGTAAAACTCCTTGAGACTTGGCGCCCACTGCATGCCCGTTCACTTCCAGTCTCTTATCGTCAAATCGCTTTACGCTTCCATCTCTACTGCTTATTAAATATTTACTCCTCGCTGTCCGCCATTGGTCCTTCTTCCTTTTATTCCCATGTCTTTTCTGAATCTTCAAGTTCATGCTTCGTTTCCTTCAACTCATTACTGATGGATGGGTGCAGCATTGTATCTAATATTTAAAGATTATCCATCCAAAAATAAATATTCACAACTTAGTATCATTGAAGAGGATGTACATTTTAACTTAGATGATTCATTGCAGTCAATTCTCACTAGATCCTTTCACACACATCTTGGATGTGAATTTTTTCACCACATTTGCTTTATTTAGAGAGTATTTTGTTCTTTTCTATAGTATATTGGAAACTATTATTGAACGGGTATGAGACAACTATACCAAAACAGTGTCATTTTGATGTGAGTGTTTAGATACTAAAAATGAACCAAAACGACCTCATTTAAACTTTATATTGAATTGCATTTTACAGAATCAAACTAGGGCCTCTTCGAATCAGTTGCTTACACTTGACCACTAAGACAAAATGGATTTATAAAATAATTCTAACACAAATAATATATATCTTAAACTTCACTTTATATTAAATCTAAAATCCTTAATAATCTAGGGATTAAGTCCAAAATTGCCCATTATATATTTTTTCGTTCTACACTTCGTCTTCACCGCAGTCATGCGAGGGAGAAGAAAACAGCCCGAACCGGGATGGTTCCTCAGCGTCTGAAGGTGGCTTTGGGGCCGATATGTTGTCGATATTAGGGACCCCACGACGAAAGAACATCATTGGTTTAGATGTTATCTATAGGAGGATGATGATTATCATTTATCAGTGTTAGGCATAACTGAGCTGCTCAAGTAGTTGTAACTGAAGTGATTCTTAGTACTGTTAGTAGTTAAGGTTGGTAATGCTGTTAGGCAGTTTCTTGATTCTGTTAGCTTTGTTAGTAGCAGTTAGTGTAGTCCATCAAGCTGTATATATATAACATCATACAAGGTCATGTAAAAAAATGAAAGTTTTTCACATATTGATTGCAATTTATGAAGTTTCATAATATTACAACATGGTATCAATCGTCGGAGATCCTGGTGACCTTTTCTTGAGTCTTGTGGTGTGATAATGTCACTTAGTGAAGTGGTTTCCTTTCCCCCCAATAGAGTCAAGATGTTTACAAATAAAAAGATCAACGTGGTGCTCGATAAAGTCGACTTCTTGCTATGGAAACATCAAGTTTTACTTACTGTTCACAGTCATCGAATTGAACGGTTGCTCACTGGTGCGTTGAAGCCTCCACCAGAGATGGTGGCTGATGAAAGTGGTGCGATGATCCCAAATGAAGCATACGAGGACTTTGTGGCCCAAGACAGCGCGTTGGCTTCTTGGCTGTTGTCAACAATTAGCAACCATTTACTGTCTCAGTTTGTTGGAGCAGAGACTGCTTCTGCAGTGTGGAGTACTGTTCTACAGTTTTTTGCTACAAGATCATCAACAGCAGTGATGAATCTGCACTATAAACTGCAATCTCTCAAGAAGGGTGACGAGACTATGCGAGTGTATTTGTCACGAGTCAAAGAAACGTGTGATGCTTTGGCGTCTTATGGTAGTGCTGTTTCTATCGTTGGTCAGGTGGCAAGTATTCTAAAAGGTCTGCCCAGGGAGTATCAACCCTTCATGGCAGTGATCACCACCAGTGGAGAAGCTTTGTCTTTGGAAAAAGTATGTACAATTCTTATTGATGCTGAAACACAGTTAGTAGGATTCACTGCTCAAGAAGAGGTGGTGTTAGCAAGTGCGAATATTGCTCGTGGTTTTGAGTCTACAAAGGATGACTCTAATACATATTCGTATTATCATCGATCGCATCAACCTGCATATTCTGGTGGGAGATCTAATGGCAGGACTGGTCGTGGACGTGGCAGGTCTCGAGTTCAATGCCAGCTGTGTGGGAAGCCAGGCCATCTTGTTGACCGATGTTGGCATCGGTATGATGAGAACTTTCAGATTGTGTCATCTAATGCAAATCAGTCTCAGCTTACAACTAACTCAGTAGGGCTAATATTGTATCTTATGACAATGTTGCTTGTGAATGTTGTTCAAATAAGTCTCGATCTCAGTCGATGACAGAGGGTACTTCTCGAGATCATATGGCTTCTACATCTAGTCAATATGATTGGGTAGTGGATTCAGGTGCCACTCATCACGTGACACCAAATGCATGTAATATTACTAATCGGGTAGAGCGTGGTGGCCCAGGTAAGCTAATGGTTGGTGATGGTCTCTCTTTACATGTTAATATGACTGGTGATGCTACATTAGAAACGTCAACCAGATCATTTTTGTTAAATGGTTTGCTTCATGTACCTCAAATAACACAAAATCTTCTCTCGGTGTCTAAGTTTGCTAGGGACAATGGGGTGTTCTTTGAATTTCATGCCCAAGGATGTTGTGTTCGTGATGTTGTTACTAAGAACATTTTGCTGCGTGGCCGTGTTCAGGATGGGTTGTACGTTTTCTCAGGAGATCGAGTTGCAAGTATTTGTCAAAATGCTGCTGCACACACTGCTGTTGCTACAAATAGCTTAGAACTTTGGCACCGTCGGTTAGGACATGCAACATATAATATTGTTGCTCGTGTTTGTAAATCACCGGATGTACTAATTTCTAAAGATATGAATAATATGTGTGAAGCGTGCTGCATTGGCAAAAGCCATAAATTACCGTTTCCTGACTCTACTACTGTTTATACTGCACCATTTCAACTTGTTTTCACTGACATTTGGGGACCAGCACATGTGGTGTCCAATGGCTTTCGTTATTACTTGTCATTTGTAGATGCGTATTCAAGGCATTCTTGGGTATATTTTCTAAAGGATAGGTCACAAGCTGTGGTTGTCTTCAAACAATTTTAAAAGATGGTGTTGACTCAATTTGGTGTGCCTATTAAAGCTGTCCAAAGTGACTGGGGTGGTGAGTATAGGAGCCTCTCGTCTGTTTTAGCTAAGGAAGGGGTTCTTCATCTTGTAGCCTGTCCTCATACCTCTGAACAGAATGGAGTAGTAGAGAGGAAGCATAGACATATTATGGAATTGGCCTTGGTACTTCTGGCTCAAGCTGGAATGCCACTGCGTTTCTGGTACTATGCTACTGTCACCGCTGTGTACATCATCAATCAGTTGCCAACAAAAGTACTGGATTGTGTATCTTCACTTGAGAAGTTGTTAGGAAAGAAGCCTGAGTATGAGTTGATGAGAGTGTTTGGGTGTAGATACTATCTTCACTTGAGGATGTTTCAGAAACACAAGCTGAATTTCAGGTCACAGTCATGCACATTTTTAGGATACAATCCACAACATAAAGGGTATACGTGTTTAGCTACTGATGGAAGAATTTACATATCCAGGAATGTAATTTTTGATGAGGCTATCTTTCCATTCGTGAGTGCTCCTGTCTCTTCTACAACACCTTCTGTTGCGAGTTTGAAATCGAGCTCACTTGAACTTGTTGCTGATGTTGGAAAATTAAGAGCCGGTGATACTGCGGTTCGTGTTAAATCGGAAACTACCTCTTCGAGTGATGTTTTAGCACATGAAGATGCGATTGGGTTAGCTGCGGATGAAGTTTCAAACTTAAATAGTGAGGGTGGTCAGCATGATGAAGCTGACATTGGTGATGTTGAGCAAGGTGGTGATGAGCTAAGTACGCATAATGAGTCTGATGCAGTGGCAGGTACAACTGTTGAGACTGTCACAAATTATTATCCCATGCTCACGAGAAGCAAATGCGGCGTTTTCAAGCCGAAAACATTTTCTGTTGTTGGTAACTCAATGGAGCCAGTAAATGTTCATGAGGCTCTTCAATCACCACATTGGAGGAATGTTATGCATGCATAACTTGAAGCGTTGAAGGTGAATGGCACGTGGTCTCTGGTTTCACTGCCTGAAGGAAGATCTGTGGTAGGTTGCAAGTGGTTGTTCAAGGTGAAAAAAAATTCAGATGGGTCAATTAGTCGATACAAAGCTCGACTTGTAGCAAGGGGATATTCCCAGGTGCCAGGCTATGATTTTAATGAAACTTTTAGCCCTGTTGTCAAGTTTGCTACACTTAATATAATACTGTCGTTGGCTGTAACAAGAGGCTGGCAGCTACGACAGGTTGATGTAAACAATGTTTTCCTACATGGGGATTTGCATGAAGAGGTTTTCATGCAGCAGCCACCCGGATTTGAGCAAAAGGCAGTTGATGGCACTATGTTGGTATGT